AGCCAGAGTGCTTGTTGGAGAACAGGATGGACAATTATCATCTCTCATACTTTGGACATACTGTCAGGAGGGACCAGTTTATCATATTTGGAAATGTTGAGAGTAAGAGAAAAAGAGGAAGACCCCTGTAGATGGATTTAAAAGTGACAGCATCAATGGGCTCAAACGTGGAACAATTTTGAGCTTGGCCCAGGACTGAGCAGTATTTGGTTCTGTTGTGCATAGGGTGCTGTAAGTCAGTACTGACTCGATGGCACCTAACTACAACAACAGTAACAACATACACTTCTTTTTTTTTTTTAATCTTTTACTTTTTATTGTAAATTATGTGTTAATTTACAGAGGTGAACATTATCTTTACATTCAAAAAAGTGGGGACAATAAATCTGGTGAGGATGTGGAGAGACTGGGATGCTCCTGCATTGCTGGTAGGACTGCAAAATATTCCAACCTGTCTGAAAAGCAATATTTCACTTCCTCAGAATGTTGGAAATATAAATATCTTGTGATCCAGAAATTTCTCTACTTGGTATTTACCCACAAGAAATACGAGCCTTAACATGGCTAGATATATGCACATCAATGTTCATAGCAGTACTATTAACAATAGCAAAAATGTGTTGACAACTTAAGTGCCCATCAACTGAAGAATGGATAAACAAACAGTGGTGCATACACACAATGGAATATTATGCTTCCTTGAAGAATAAACAAGGATGCTGCAAGCCATCACATAACATAGATGGACCTTGCAGACATTGTGTTGAGTGAAATTAGTCAGTCACAAAAGAAGAAATACTGCATAGGACAACTACTGTAAAAGACTAAGAAAAAGAACTCATACTAAAAGGGAGGAAGGTTCTTTACTGGTTACTGGGATGTGGGGTTGGGTGAGGGAAGAGAGAGAAGGGTGGAACATAGGGTAGGGAACAGACATAGGATAGTTTGGGTGCTAGGGAGGTAGGGAATATACAAGGGGGAGAGTTAAGGAAGAACAAGGTGGATGGGTAAACAATTAGACAGGTTTGCATGGGCTAAGTGGGACAGAGATAAATAATGATGTAGGCACAACCTTGAAACAAAAGGGCTCTGGGATACAGGGATTGAGACATGGTTGGGATGAGGAAAAGGGGGCAAATTATATCAACATGCTTGGTTGTCTTTTGAATCGTGGTTTCCCTGGCATACCATTATAAAATAGACACTTGAGGGGGAGAAAAAGAAATAGCCAGAAATATCACCATGGAAAGCTTGTAAGTCTGTCTTCTGCCTATAGCTGATTGGAATACCTAAAATGGGGCTACAATGTGCCCAGTGAAGGAGGTTTCCTGCGGAGCCTCAGCATTACATAGGACCATAGGTGGAATCCTGAACTCATCCCGAATCAACAGAGTTGGGAAATTGCCACTTGAAAGGACAAACAGACCAGCCTGGAGTGGCTTGAAGGAAAGTAGATACTAATTGAAAGAAAGACCGACAGAAAAGTACAAAACAATAAAGGCAGTCTGACTGATTACTACAAGAACAAGCAAGTTGCTTGACTTGGAGACATCAAGCAAAGTGGTTGGGTCTCCTCAGGGCAAACCGCATTCCAGGACTAAGACTCAATGGTAATATATGCTTTGATTGGTGACCACGTTGGTCACCCATAAGAGGAAGTGAGGGAAAAACAGCGTTGCATTAAAGCTGCAAGCTAAGCCCTACAAAGTTCAATAGAATCCTGTGAACCCGGGTGGAGACCAGGATGGCCAGCAATGTGGCAAGACCTGGTGGATTCTTGGGCCCAGAGTCAGTGACATAGTCACAGAGGTCTAGAGTGGAGAGTGAAGCATCTAGCTGATAAGAAGAAAGGGCATATGTACAAGAACATCCACACTTGCAGATAATACCGACTTGACCAGGCATCAATGCCTGGATAATCAGAGCTCAACTATAAGAAGAAAGAAGAGGAAAAAACGAGTAATCTGACGAACTTGACCTACACCTATGAATGCAGTAGCTCGAAAGAAGGAACAAATTTTTATAGCGAGGATCATTCAACCCCCTCCATACACAGAGTAGACAGGGATGGGCAACTTGGACATTGACTACCCTAAATGGGGGTGGGGAGGGGCTACAAACACAAGATGTAACTGGCTTACAAGCTTTCAAGAGGGAACCTAGATTTAGAGGGCATGGAAGAAGTTAGAGTCTTCACTGAGTAGTACCCAATCTGTCTGGGAGGGCTGGTGAAAGGAGATGCAGATAGGTCTCTTGTGATATAATAGTGAATAATTGTTATCAGGACTGACTGTGAGGGTTGGAAATGTAAAGGTATACTTTTTGTAGCAAAAGGAGGGGAGTGATTGACTTAGCACTCTAGGAGCGGAGGTCCCTGGCACCATCAAGGGAGAAGAGCAGACAGCAGGACCCTACCCAGAGAAACAGTGATGCTAGAGATGGAGGCAAAGACGATGACATGGATAGATGGGAGTGGCTGTGGACTTCAGACTCAGAGAGGGATAGGGGCTGTGTGTTGACAACCTAGGGGCAGGCTTGCAGGGTATACTGTTTGGTTGGTTGATGATGCATGAAGGGGATTGTAACCATGGCAATGAAATGATATATGATAGGATGAATATAAAGCTAATGTTCTCCCATGTAACTATGACATAATTCACAATAAAACATTAAAAAAAAAACCAACAACAAACAGAATTATTTGAACCCCATGATATAGATGACATAAGCAAAGGTTGGAAAGCAGAGACATTCCACTTCTCTAATCCTCCTCTTAGATCACAAAGATATTTCTTTGTCCCTTCAAATACTTTTGCAGACCAGTCCAGGTAGAATTCCTAAGTTGGCACTCTATATTCTCTCCATTGAATCCACTACTTTGAAACCAAAGTCTTATTTGTGATTTGTCATTATAATTTATGTCACTTTTTGTATTTCCTATGACAATGAATGTTCTCTGTTTTATCTACAGATTAGCAAAATCAATAATATTGTTGTTGTTGTTAAGTGCCCTTGAGTTGATTCCAACCCGTAGCAACCCTGTATAGAGTTTCAAAGGAGCAGCTGGTGAGCTTGAACCACTGACACTGCAGTTCAAACGACTTTGCAGTCTGACACATTAGCCCACAGTGCCACAATGACTAATGTATTTGTATTTCTTTAGATTTTAATGATCATGTCCTTAAATAAATGGAAAGACGAAAAACTAAACAAATGGATGAGTGATTTAGATTCAATATTTCTTTCTTTCCAGGGGAATTGAAGCCAAATCAAGAGAAAGAAGAAACATATATATATATATATATATATGAGCTTTTATTGTAATTTGAGTTATAATTTACATTGGAGAACATCGGTTTTACATTGCAATAATTGGTTTCATTGTGATGATTACAATCTCCTCCATGCATCATCATTCAGCAGTGTTACTTACTTCTATTCATTCTAGTTTTTTTTGGTTTTGTTTTTCTTTTTGCTTTAGGGGGGTACACAAACCCCTCAGGATTACATAATAATTTAAATAACCAAAGGGCACACTCTGCAAGCCTGCCTCCTCTCCTCCAGCACCCAGTTCCTCTCTTTTCATGAGTCTACGGACTCCAGCTGCTGTCTCTCTCCATGTCCTCATTTCTACCTCCATTTCTGGTGGTGTTACTTCTCAGGAGAGTGTCCCACATTCCACTCTTGTTTGTCTCCCTTGATGCTTCTAGGGACTTCTGTGCAATCTAATTCTTACTTACTGCAAGAACAGGAATGACAGTCATCCTTAAGGTAACACCCTACAGAATCACACCCTAGAGATGGCCAATCAGCTTAAAGGGGCAGGAAGGACAGGAACCAGGACTGAGCATAAAGGAAGATCAAGGCCAGCTGTTGCTTACACTTGCTTCTGACACAGTTGTATTCAGTAGCAACTACCAAAACAGACATCATGGTGCATCTGACTGCTGGTGAGAAGTCTCTTGTCGCTTCCACTTGGAGCAAGGTGAATGTTGATGCAGTTGGTGGTGAGGTACTGGGCAGGTTAGTATCTAGGTTGTAAGGCTAACTGGAGAAGGTTGGTTGGGGTTGGGCATGTGGAGACAGAGCAGTCTCCCAGGTTTTGAAAAGCACTAAACTCCCTCTATGCCTTGCGTTGTCTTCACCCTTAGGCTTCTTGTAGTCTACCCATGGACCCAGAGGTTCTTTGACTCCTTTGGGGACCTGTCCTCTGCTTCTGCTATCATGGGCAATGCTAAGGTGCAGGCTCATGGCAAGAAAGTGCTGAAATCCTTTGCTGAGGGCCTCAACCACCTGGACGACCTCAAGGGTGCCTTTGCCCAGCTGAGTGAGCTGCACTGTGATAAGCTGCATGTGGATCCTGAGAACTTCAGGGTGAGTCTGTGGGAATCAATGTGGTGCTTCTCCTTTGTTTATGGATAAGTTCATGTCATGGGGTGAGGGTAGAGTTCAGAATGGGAAAGAGGTCCTCCAGAGCATAATATTACTGCCTCAGGGCCATTTAGTTTCTTTAACCATATTGCTCACAACCATTATTTCCAAAGGTTCCTTAAACTTTTCTTCTTTGTTCCTCTTCTCTGTAATTTTTAAATGCAATTTTATTGAGATATTTTTCTTTTTAATTACTACATTTTAGTTTAAATCTGCATGTTATTTGTGCATGTGTTTCCTTTTGTTTCTGGTTTTTGTTGTTGTTGTTGTTGTTGTTTTAACTTTAATCTATTTCTTTCAAGACATAAAGACTAGAATGGATCATTTGAAAGATAACATTGATAATTTAAGGTATGGGCTATGGGTAATCTCTACTGCTATCCAGTGGATTCCAGCTCATAGTGACCCTATAAAGGGTTTCTGAAGGTGTAAATCATCACAGGAGTAGAAAGCCATAACTTTCTCCCACAGAGCAGCTGGATCATTGTGACTTAACATAAACAGGCAGACAAATGAAACTCACTGCCCTGTAATAGATTCCCATTTATAGGACCCATAGAGTCCTGGTATGGCAACATAGGATAATCATTTGACCTCAAGGTAGGTTTAAACTGCAAGTGGGTTGCTGAAACTGACCAGTTGTTCCTTGCAAACCCTATATAATGTTACTATGAGATGGAATGGACTCTTTAAGCACTTAACAACAACAACAAATCTGCATGAGAGCAGCCAGTGTCATTTTCATCCAGGTGAACTGTCACCGATCTTTCTCTCAGCAGTCCAGTGCCTACCATGCAGTACCACAAGGGCTATGTAATATTTATATGAAAATGGCATTGGTAACTTAAAATCTGACATAAGATATGTGGGGAAGAAGACTATTTCTGTATATAAATTCAGAATGATGTGGGAGCAGTGTCAGCAGTAGCAGCCAAGACCCAACCATCATGCTGCTTATATTTTATGTATAAGCCATAGCACAGCATGGGATGTGACTGAGATATTCCTTGTAGAAGTTGAGGCATTCAGCTAACTAAATTCATGACTCTTATCTTTTCCCCTCAGCTCCTGGGCAATGTGCTGATGTGTGTGATGGCTCGTCATCTTGGTGCAGATTTTACCCCAGAGGCTCAGGCTGTCTGTCAGAAGGTGGTGGCTGGTGTGGCTACTGCCCTGGCTCACAAGTACCACTGAGACCCTGGCCTGTTTCCTTCCATCCATTGGAAGCCCCTCTGTCACCATATGCTATCTCTGAGGGCATAGCTTTGGCCTAATAAACAACTTTGAGCTTGACTTTCTGATTTATTGTATTTAATTTAGCTGTCATTCCCTTTTGCATGTAAGAAGATTTTTAAGGGTCTATTGATACACAGCTCTTCTGTCTCATAGAATAGTGGTAGTGATTCTGTGCTTTGGAGCCGGTTCCCCACTCATAGCGACCCTGAGACTCACAGTTCAAATTGTAACCTACCATGCTACCAATGTTCTTTGTCTCTGAGTAGTTCAAGGTAAATTGATAAACAAATGGGACTCTGCAAGAACTAATGGCAATAAATCTATATACAAGACATACAGATAAGAGTGGTATGGCAAACAGGGAGTATACTGACACTGAAGTGATTTCATCAGTGTCAAATATAATATACATAGTCCCAGTGCTAACATTCAGATCCATTATGAAAAATTACTCTCAAAACTTCAAGCTTTTAGAAAAGAATTAAGTTTTCAGTACATCAATTTGTTTACTTATTTCCTACTTGTAGCTTGTAAACTTTGTTCACAATCTACACGCTGTAAATCTTCTTCCTCTGATGAATTATCATTCTTCCCTTGGTTGCCCTATAATAGCTACAAAAAGAATCCATGTTCTACTTATTTTAAGGAGAGTTTAATGTTAATGCAATACTCTTGATATTCCTGTCAATTAATTTTCCAACGCTGTCTAAGCAAAGTTTCCAACCCTATCTACCCACTTGTTTTAATACTTTTTTAAATTTAGGTGGTTTCTTTTTAATGAAATGGTTTATTATTTTATTAGTATTGTAAAGACATAGGTGTATGTTGATGAGGTAGAGAGAGAAAGAGAAAAAGAAGCAAAATTCTATTGTGAATGGGAATGCATACTCTGATTGGTGACCACATTCGTCACCAATAAGGAGTAGTAAGGGAAAAACAGCAATAAAGCTGTGAGCTAAGCCCTACAATTCTCAATAGACTCCTGTGAACCCAGATGGAGACCTGGTTGGCCAGCAGTGTGCCAAGTCCAGGGGACTCTTGGGCCCAGAGTCAGCGACATATCCACAGAAGACTAGAGTGGAGAGTGAAGCATCTAGCTGATAAGAGAGGGCACATGCATAAGTACACCCACACTTGCACATAATACCCACTTAACCTGGCTTCAATGACTGGATGATCAGAGCTCAAACAGAAGAAGAAAGAATAGGGGAAAAAAAATAACCTGATACAATTTGACGAACTTGACAAATACCTATGGAAAAAATAGTTCAAAGAGTGAACAAATCTTCACAGCGAGGATCATACCCACCTCCTCCACACATGGAGAGGACAGGGATGGGCAACTTGGACATTGGCTACCCACAATGGGTGGGGCTACATAGGCAAGATGTGACTGGCTTACAAGCTTTCAAGAGGGAACCTAGATCCACAGGGCATGGAGCAAGGTAGAATCTCCACTGATAGTATCCATTCTGCTTAGTCAGGGCTAACGAAAGGAGATGCAGATAGGTCTCTTGTGATACAATAGCAAAAAATTGTTATCAGGACTGACTGTATGGGCTGGAACTGTAAATGTAGATATTTTGGGGCTAAGGAAGGGGAGTGATTAACCTTGCAGTCTAGGAGCAGAGGTCCCTTGGACCATCAAAGGAGAAGAACAGAGAATGGAACTCTACCCAAAGAAACAGGGATACCAGGGATGGAGACAGAGATGATGAGGTGGTGAGATGGAGTCAATGGAGACACTGGACCCGGAGAGAGAGAGGGGCTGTATTTGAATGACCGGGGGGCAGGCTTGCATGTTATACCCTTTAGTTGATGGATGGTGCGTGGAAGGTATTGTAACCATGGCAAGGTAACAATATACGACTGGATAAATGTGAAGCTTATGTCCTCCCATGTAAACTATCACATAATTCACAATTAAGCATTTAAAAAAAATACTATTGTGAGATAGGTTCTTTAACTAGTAAAAAAAAATAATATTGTGACTTAGGTACTATAAATGTTAACAAATAGTTTAATTTTATGTTGAAGGATTTCAATATGTTAATGTTGTACACATTTTTAAGAGGATCCCAGTCAGAGCCAAGATTCTGCCTCTAAACAATCAAATTTAACATTATGGAAGATGGTCCTCTTGATATAAATCAGTAAAATAGTCCATTTAGTAAGGAAAATAAAAGCTCATTCTAATTAAAAACTGTATCCTAGTCAAGAAATAGTAATGTTGAAGTTATAGCCTGAAACATCAACATATCTGTTTGTTAATAATTATTAACTGTGTACTTTAGCAAAGTTATGTCTCTATTCTGTACATTGATGTTTGGGAAGAAATGTGAGTTTTAAAACAGCAATTAAACAATTCTATTCCTGTACTTTGTGTGTGGGGGTGGTTTGTTTCTATTGCTTATACTGATCCTGGAGAAACCTTGTTGATTAATTCAAGACTGAAGATGCTTACTTGAGGTTGCAAAGGCACTGAGCATGCAGAAGAGCAGCCTCTAGAAAATAACTGAACTTTGTTTAGTCCAGGAAAATATAGACTACATCGTTGGACTGTCCACTTGTGGAATGTAAGATTGAATAACAGTATATACAACAGCAGTCTAACTGAATGTCACATTTAAACCTTGTGACAAATTAAATGGGTGTCATATTTCTCCTGAAGCAAGTTAATGTTCATTCTGTTCATTAAACTCAGAGTAGTCTCATATTGCTATATAATAGTGGAAATTAAGGAACCTTGGCAGACCTGAATAAAGAAAAAAACTTCTCTCTGTCTCTTGGAAAATTGTTATATATGTGAATGCATTTGTGTGCATGAGTGTTTGTGTGTGCATTTTAAGAGCACAACATGGCTGGGATCTAAGGAGAGAACACACTCTATGGGATACCTTCATAGGGAAGAAGGAGGTTTACAACTGTGAGTATAGTGATTTTGGAAGTGCGCTAAGAAACTTTTGGAAACTTTGAGTTTGGTTTGCTCTGAATTTGGACCTGAGACTCACAATATAGGCGCATTTATCAAGACTTATATTCTTCTGATGCAGAATGTATATGGAATTAAGTACATTGAATGTTATTGAATGATGCAGAAAATATCAAAAAAAGATGGAAGGAATACTGAGTCAGATACCAAAAGGAAATGGTTGACATTCAACTGCTTTAAAAGGTTCTTGTTGTTGTTGTTAGGTGCCATCTACTTGGTTCCAACTCATAGTGACCTTATGCACAGCAGAATGAAACACTGCCTAATCCTGGGCCAAGCTCACTACTGTTGCCATGCTTGCGTCCATCAATGCAGCCACTTGGCCGATCCATCTCGTTGGCAATCTTTTTCTTTTTTTTCTAACCCTCCACCTTACCAAACATGATATCCTTTTCCAGGAACTGGTCCCTTCTGATAATATGTCTGAAGTATGAGATACGATATTTGGCCATCTTGGCCTCCAAAGAGAACTCTGGCTGCACTCTTTCCAAAATGGATCTATTGGTTCTTTTGCCAGCCCATGGCACTTTCAATAATCTCCTCCAACTCCATATTCCAAAAGCATCAATTCGTCTATGGTCTTCCTTATTCACTGTCCAGCTTTCACATGCATCTGAGGTTATGGAAAATACCATGGCTTGGGTCAGGGGCACCTTAGTCCTCACACTAACATCTTTGCTCTTCAACGCTTCAAAAAGATCTTGTTCAGCAGATTTGCCTAATGCAATACATAGTCATATTTCTTGACTGCTGCTTCCATTAGTGTTGATAGTTGATCCAAGAAGAATGAAGTCCTTGACTACTTCAATCATTTCTCCATTGATAAGAATGTTGTTTATTGGTCCAGTGGTGGGGATTTTTGTTTTCTTTACATTGAGATGTAATCCATACCCGAAGGCTGTGCTTTTTGAGTTTCATCAGTAAATGTTTAAGTCCTCTTCACTTTCAGCAAGCAAGGTTGTATAATCTGCATATCACAGTTTGTTAATGAGTCTTCCTCCATTCCTGATGTCATGTTTTCCTTCATATAACCCAGCTTCTTTGATTATTTGCTCAGCATACAAGTTGAATAAGTATGGTGAAAGAATACACCTTGTCATACACCTTTCTTAATTTCAAACCATTCAGTGTTCCCATGTTCTGTTCGATCAACTGCCTCTTGGTCCAGGTACAGATTCCTCATGAGCACAGTTATGTGTTCCAGAATTCTCATACTTTGCAATGTTGTCCATAGCTTGTCATGATCCACACAATTGAAAGCCTTTGCATAGTCAGTAAAGCACAGGTAAACATCTTTCTGATATTCTCTGCTTTCAGCAAAGATGCATTGGACATCAGCAGTGATATCCCTCATTCCACAGCCTTTTTTGAATCCAGCTTGAATTTCTGGGAGTTCTCTGTCAATGTGTGCTTGCAGCCATTCTATATTACCTTTAGTAAACATTATCAAATACATTGTTCGATGATTTCCGCATTTCGTTGTGTCACCTCTCTTTGGAATGTGTACAAATACAGATCTCTTCCAATCACTGGGCCAGATAGTTGCCTTCCAAATTTCTTGGCAGAGATGAGTGAGTGCCTCCTGTGCCGCCTCACTTTCTTGAAAGATTTCAATTTTTATTCCATCACTTCCTGGTGCCTTGTTCTTTGTCAATTCATTCAATGTACCTTGGACTTCTTCCTTCAGTATCACTGGCTCTTTATTATATGCTACCTCTTGAAACATTTGAACAGTAGCTATTTCCTTTTGGTACATTGACTCTGTATATTCCTTCCATCTTTCACTGATGCTTTTTGCATCATTCAAAATTTTTCCCAGAGAATCTTTCAATAATGAAAGTCGATACTTGAATTTTTTCTTCAGTTTCCCCAGCTTGTGAAATGCTGAGTGTGTTCTTCCTTTTTGGTTTTCTGATTCCAGATCTTTGCACATTTTGTTGTAATAATTGACTTTATCTTCTTGAGC